CCATCCCCTAGAGATAGACAAGCTCTTGTGAATAAGACCCCTTTGTCCCCACCCCCCACTCCCCCCCACCCCCGCCCTAGCCTGGAACAATCCTTTTCTTTTGCTAATAACTTTCCTGTCCCCCCCATCCTCTAGAAAAACCTTCCATTTGGTACAACTTCCTGGAGTTCCTCTCTACTTGCTAGGTGAGGTGCCTCACAATTCAAACAATTCATGAATCGTTCAATAAAGCCAATTAGATCTTTAAATTTACCTGGTTGAATTTTGTTAATTCACAAAAGCTTCTCTTTTTCTTCCAACTCATTATTAAGGGGTTCAGCTTTGTCAATTTAAATGTTCTTCTTTTTGTGCCTGTGCTGAATTTGGTAGGTCATGAATTTTTGAGGTACTTGCACCTAAGAGTTTTTCTATAATACAGATTTTTTTCCCTAGTAATTCAAGTAAGTGTAGAGGAAAGAACTGGAAATCCTGAAGATTGGTTGCTCTAACTTCATTATTATTATTTTTTTACACTATTTGGCATCAACAATGTAATGTTTTTCCAACTAAGATTTTTTCCTCAATATATTTATTTATCACCTCCCCAATCATGCTTTTCTTGCTTATGGAAAGAGAAGCCAATCTACTCATTTCCTTTTGCAGCAGTAGAGGCTACTGTTGGTGAGGAAGACCTTCCTCTGCCCCTCGGGTTCTTCTAGCTGGACTTAAATTGACATGAGACAGATTTACAGAAGAAAATCAAATTTAATAGGTGTACATATAGGGAACACACACAGGGATGAAATCCTAAAGACAATGAGGCAACACAAAACTTATTTGAACTAAGGAGAGGGATAGGCCCTGAAGATACAAAGGGGAGAAGGCCATAAGCAGGAATATGAAAGATGTTTTGAAAAACAACAGTTGCCCTTTTATGCAGGTGAGTTTCTTAGGTAAAGGGGAGCCTCTGTTAATAGCTCTCATGCTGGCCCAGGCTCTCCTTTCCATTGTAAATTTAGGCAATTGAGGGGGCGGCAGACAGCTTTTCCAGCACCTGCTGGGTTTTGATTACTTTTAAATTGAAATAATCTTTATGCCAAAGTGATCCATCTTGGGGCAGCCCACCCTTGGCCCTCACACTACACACAATGCTACTGCTACTAACAAAATGAACACACAGCAATTTTAGTCTAGAGATAATACTCAAAAAGCAAGATGGTTTATACAATTCCATTTAGGTTGCTTGAAAAAAGCTTTCCCTATCTTGCCCATAAGTAATTTATTGAAAGCTCTTCACTCTTTGGTCTGAATCTGTGGGGACGATTCTAATTTGTAAAGTTCATAAATTCCTTCCTACAAAAATCTTGCAAAACATTTTGGAACTTGCAGTTGCAGGAAACTTGTTCCTTATTTAACCCTTAGCCAATGATAATCAATGTTTTATTGGCCAAAAAAATGGGAAATGACAACCCTATCCTTATGTAGTTTGGCTTCCATTAAGTGGGAGAAAAAGCTGTTTCTCAGGACATTTAAAAAATATTTGCTTATTTGAGAGAGAGAACGAGTACGAGCAAGACAGGCAGAGGGAGAAAGAGATTCTGAAGCTCACTCTGTGCTGAGTACACAGTCTGATGCAGGGCTGGATTTCACAACCCCGAGATCATGACCTGAGCTGAAACCAAGAGTTGGACACTTAACCAACTGTGCCGCCACTCAGGTGCCCCTCAGAACATGTTTTTAAACTCCAGTGTTTGCTCTCTAAATCTGCTCTGTCCAAATCTACCCAAATATACAAATCTCCACGTTAAAAAAAAAAAAAAACTCCACGTTATTTTATTAACCCCCAAATACCTAGTTGAGAAGCATTAATCATTATTTAACCTCAAATATACCTGACCTAATCACACTAGGTGTGAACAAAGATAGGGCTTTAAGTAGTAATTTGCAGACTTTAATTCTCTGGTTTCAAAATAGGCTTAAAAAGCTTCTTGGCTAAGGTGAGCTTGCCCCTTCCCCTCCCTGTTCCCAGCCTCCACCTTCCCTTTCCTGACCCTTATAACAGAGTTTATTAACATTTGGTTCAGAAGGATAAGTCTGATGCTGCCTTATTAGCAGCAGATTTAACTTCAATGATTCATAGCTGGAGGACCCCCATTTTACATTATAAACACTACTGGCCACCCACTAGGGGAAGCACCAGGCTAAAGTAGTTTATACCTTCACATTCAAAAGATGTACAAAGATATGTGAATATCCTCAAGAAGTTTACCAACTGGCTGGGACAATAAATCATACACTTGTGTAATATGAAAATAATGATTCTGAAATTTTATTATTTTTAATGCATATGTTTTACAAATAAAACCTCTAACCACACACAATTCTATAACCAAATATTTTAATGTTTATTTTACCCATTCGAATAGGTAGTATCTCATTTGGGTTTAATGTGTATTTCACTGATGGCTAGTGATGCCGAACATTTTTCTGTGTTTTTATTTTCCATTGTATCTTCTATGGTTGCATTGTTTCTAAAATCTTACATAATTACACTTTTTCCTCAAATCATTTTTTCCTTACTACTGGGAAGAGGTCATTCAGGGTAAGATTTGGCTGTGGTTCAATATTTCTTAAGTGAACAAAATAAATACAAAAATAAAAACAAACAAAAATCCCCAGGCATTACAAGCATAATTCATATGCTCTAAGATTAGGGATTTCACTTTGATCTCTAGTCTAGAGGTCAACAAATTACAGCCCACAGGCCAAATCTGGCCTGAGGCCCGCTTTTATGGCCTAAGAGCTAAGAATGAGCTTTACATTTTTAAAGGGTTACAAAAAAAAAAAAAAAAAAACAAAAAAAAAACAAAAAGAATATGTAAAGTCTAACATATTTACTATCTAGCCTTACAGGTAGTTTGCAGATGAAAATAAACAAAACCTTTGGTAAACATTAATGAACAAAGTTGATGTGTAATTATCTATGACATTCCCAGTTATCTTACACTTTAACAAAATGATGGGGAAACAAAAACACTTTAAAACTACAAACAATCTAGGGATTCCTGGGTGTCGCAGCGGTTTAGCGCCTGCCTTTGGCCCAGGGCGCGATCCTGGGGATCCCAGATCGAATCCCACGTCGGGCTCCCAGTGTATGGAGCCTGCTTCTCCCTCTGCCTGTGTCTCTGCCTCTCTCTCTCTCTGTGTGTGACTATCATTAAAAAAAAAAAAAAAAAAAAAAACAAACCTACAAACAATCTAAAGGCAATTTTTCTACATTAGCTTCCTGTCAAAGTATTTTTAAGCAGACAGACATAAACCTGTAGCATTTTTTGTTCTCTTATGGAATTTCTTCCATGTCATCCTAAGGCACATTTACATGACTGACAAATCCATGTGTTATAAGGTTGGAGAAAACTCAAACTTCAATGTGCTCTAAAAAAAGAATTATTTCTATGAGTCATATCAAAAACTAGTTTTTTTCCCACTTGTAGGGAAAACACTGTCACTAGATCTTAAAAGTAGCTTTCTGTGGGCTTAGTCCCATTTCAGCATCTTTTCTAATCTATGAACCAGTTTTCCATTATAAATCACAATACCACTAAACATCTAACTCTGGCCTAAAAACAAGCTGAGAACTCTCTTTTGACTTGGTGGTCTGTTCCAAAATGAATTCATTTTTTATATTCTAATTTACATTTCTAGTTTGATTAAAATAAGAGAACTCAGTAGTATTACCCTCTCTACTAAGCAGACAAGAGTAAACATCACTGGCTGGCAACATGCTTTATCTGCAATACTTTCTAAGCATCTAACCTGGGGCCTTTAAGACAAAAGGATTTTGTGCTGCTGCAGTTTTGGGTTCCCAGAATGTCTTGATACACCACAGTGAGGTTTCATATCTCACTCAGGCTCACACCCTGAGCTGAGGGCAGGTGCCCAGCCGCTGAGCCACCTAGGCGTCCTGAGAAATCAATTTCTTCCAAGAAATATCTTACCTAAACCATTCACCACTCATTGAATTTGCCATATATGGGTAGAGCACAAAACTTGGAATCAAGGATCTTCTAAGGATTAAAAAATGCACTCCAAAGAATACACATTGTGTACAGCTTTTAAAGTACATAAACGTTTCAGCCTGAGAGTCCTAGGCTTCCTTTGACCCCAGAATAGGATATAATACTTATAAATTACTTTAAGAATGGTACAATGTACAGTTATTAGTGACAGCAACAGTGAGGGAAGCCATGAAACAGGAAATCAAACAAAATTACAAAGCTGACACAGCAAACCCTGTGGGAAGCCTGAGCCCTAGGGACTAATTTTTACTGGCAGGGTTTTTTGCAGAAATCATGCAGAAGTCATGCTACAGATATAATCCAGACTTCTTAGCAGTGAGGGTATTTCTGTTGCTATGCCTCATAGGCTCTGTAAGGAAAGCCCAGATGAGCTGAGCTCAGCTGCCTATAATAACAACTCACATATAAAGCTGCTCATTATTTCCAAAACTGGGTTTTATGTTGGAAATCTCCACAGAAAAAGCAATCTGCTCTGATTTTCTAGGCCTCTTAAATTATTCCATCCATTTGATAAAAAGGTCTGTGGCCTTCTGGGCACCAGTTTTAGAATTAAAATGAATTATGAAAGTTTCTATAAACTCAGTCACTTGTTCATACAGCTCTCCAAAGGGACTGTTCTGTTTTTATCTGAGGTCCCTCTGCATAATTACTCTAATGGATTTAACCTAATATGAGACAATCTTTATTTTTTTAATTTTTATTTATTTATGATAGTCACACACACACACAGAGAGAGAGAGAGAGAGAGAGAGAGAGAGAGAGGCAGAGACACAGGCAGAGGGAGAAGCAGGCTCCATGCACCGGGAGCCCGATGTGGGATTCGATCCCAGGTCTCCAGGATTGCGCCCTGGGCCAAAGGCAGGCGCTAAACCGCTGCGCCACCCAGGGATCCCAAGAGACAATCTTTAGATACATCTGGGGCTCATGGTATGTCATGTGGTACTCTATGAAAAAATTCTGGGGACGCCTGGGTGGCTCAGCAGTTTAGAGTTTGCCTTCAGCTCGGGGCGTGATCCCGGAGTACAGGAATCGAGTCCCACATTGGGCTTCCTGCATGGAGCCTGCTTTCCCTCTGCCTGCTTTCTCTGCCTCTCTCTCTCTCTGTGCCTCTCATGAATAAATAAATAAAATCTTAAAAAGAAAATCTCAATAAAGTCATTAAAAATAAGTTAAAAAAAAGAAAAAAATTCTGTTGATCAGTATCTAGATTTTTTTTTTTTTAAGTACCTAGATTCTTACGCTGTGGGCGGGAAATAAACTTCATTCTGCAACTTGGGCCTTCCTGGTTTAGGAAGGAGGGCTGGAGTATAAGACATAATAACATATAACACAAAAAGAATTAAATACTCTGAGGAGCCTCATAATAGCTCATGAAGTAAGCGTGTTATCTTCCTCATAGCATTCATCTATTTCTTCAACCAAAATTTTTGAAGGTTTATGTATTTGTTTGTGGAGTTTAAGATAGATTACTGTGGAGTCCAGGCCACTGACCTTGGTCTCCTGATTTACTACAGTACCATGCTAATTAGCTTTTCCTTCACTCACCATTGCTCTTTCCAATCTTTCTCCACTCAACATTCAATGATCTTTGTAATGCATAGATTTATTTGGTTGTGTAAACCCAGATGAAAACCTTCTGGTGCCTTTGCAATGCACTTAGTATAAAATCCAAATCAGCCTTATATGATCTGACACCTCCCAAAGTCTCCAGCCTTTTTTTTTTTTTTAATTTCATTTATTTATTCATGAGAGACACAGAGAGAGCGAGAGAGGTAGAGACACAGGCAGAGGGAGAAGAGGCTCCATGTCAGGTGCCCGACATGGGACTCGATCCCGGTACTCCAGGACCACGACCTGGGCCGAATGCGGCGCTAACCTGCTGAGCCACCTGGGCTGCCCTCCAGCCTTCCTTTATACCATTTTCCCCTACTCGCTATACTCCAGGTATGCTGGACTTCTCTCACTTCTTCAAACTCATAATGCTAGTCTAATTTAGATGTGTCATATAAACCCTTCCACTATATCATATACATAAAATTAATACATTTATTCCACTTCATTGTGTTCATTGATTTGTCTTACTAGGATATGAACTTCCCAGATGACAGAGAGATCTTTTATTCACAATTTCTAGCAGTGCTTGATTCAATAATCAATAAAAGTTTGTTGAGTGACTGACCAAATAAAGGAAAATACAGAAGACAGGAGCTAGGCAAAGGAAAGATGATGTTTGTTTTCAAATATATTATGCTTGAGGTAGTACTAGTTTAACAGAATAAGGATGGGCCAGAAAAAAGAGAGCTCAGGTCTGGAAATACTGATTTCATCCAGTGACAGGACTAGTAAGTGTTCTTAAATCATTTAATGAGGTTTATTATTTTTTTTAATGGCTAAAGCGTTGAAAATAGGGTTTTAAAACTAAATTAAAGCTAAAAGTAAATTTCAGAAAGACACAAGATGCTATGAGTAACAGAACAAAAAATGACAAAATAATTTCTAATTCAAACATTCTTAACATATGTAAAATAATTTAATTATGCTATAATTCAGAACATTATTAAACAGATTTATATTATTGCTTTATATTACTAGGGTCAAGGGACGCCTGGGTGGCTCAGTGGTTGAGCCTCTGCCTTTGGCTCAGGGCATGATCTTTGTCCGGGGATGGAGTCCCGTATTCGGTTCCCTGCGAGGAGCCTGCTTCTCCTTCTGCCTGTGTCTCTGCCTCTCTCTCTGTGACTATCATAAAAAAAAAAAAAAAAAAAAAAAAGGATTACTAGAGCCAAAAAAGGCAACTCTGTTGTCTCATTTTTTTTTATTGTCTCCTTATTAAACTTCAGAGATTAGATCACAAGAAATTGATTCTTACTCCTTTTAATATGGTTAAATTTTCATCAAATTTTCACCATGTCACTATGAGTCTGCTTATTAGGCTTTGGGTTAGACCTGAGGGTGGGTGTACAGGACTTATTTTTATTACTTGTCATGCTTTTTGTTAAGATTCTATGATTTTTAACAAATTAACTTTTATGACATATAAAATGAACAAAGGCATACCTTGCTTTATTGTGCTTTGTAGACTTTGCATTTTTCACAAATTGAAGGTCTGTGGCAACCCTGCACTAAGAAGGTCTATAGGTCTATTGGCACCTTCTTTCCAACAGCATTTGCTCACTTAGTATCTATGTATTACATTTGGGTAATTCTCACAATATTTTAAACTCTTTCATTATTATTATTATTATACTTGTTATGGTGATCTGTGATCAGTGACTTTTGATGTTACTAATGTGACTTTTGAAGCACAGAAATGCACCCATACAATACCGCAAACTTAACTGGTAAGTATGTGTCCTGACTACTCCATGGACTGGCCAGTCCCCAGTCTCTCTCTCCTCAGGCTTCCCTAGTTCCTGAGACAGGACAATATTTTGCCAACAACATTAGGCCAGTTAATAACCTTAAAATAGTCTTTAAGTGTTCAAGTGAAAGGTAGAGTCACACATCTCTCACTTTTAAAGCAAAAGCTAAAAATGATTAAGCTTACTGAGGAAGCCTTGTCCAAAGCCTAGGCAGGCCTAAAGCTAGGCGTTTTGTGCCAAATGGTTAGTCATGCTGTGAATGCAAAAAAAAAAAGTTCCTGAAGGAAAACTGAGAGTATGATTCCAGTGAACACACAAATGATAAGAAAGCAAAACAGTCATATTGCTGACATGCAGAAAGTTTTAGTGGTCTGGATAGAAGATCAAACCAGCCACAACATTTCCTTAAGCTAAGCCTAATCTAGAGTAAAGCCCTAACATTCTCCAATTCTATGACGGCTGAGGTGAAAAAGCTACACGAAAAAGGTTTGAAGCTAGCCAAGGCTGGTTCATGATGTTTAAGAAAAGAAGCTGTCTCCATAACATAAAAATGCAAGGTGAAGCACAAGGGCTAAAGTAGAAGCTGCAGCAAGTTCCAGAAGATTTAGCTAAGATCTTTAATGAAGGTAGCTATACTAAACAACAGGATTTTCAATGTATACACACAGCCTTATGTTGGAGGAATATGCCACCTAGGACTTTCATAGCTAGAAAGGAAAAGTCAATTCCTGGCTTCAAAACTTCAAAGGACAGGCTGACTCTCCAGGTAGAGACTAATGCAGCTGCTATCTTGAAGTTGAAGCCAATGTTTATTAACCATTCTGAAAATCCTAGGGCTCTTTGAAATTATGCTAAATCTACTCTGTGTTCAATCAATGGAACAACAAAGCCTGGATGACAGCTCACTTGTTTATAACATAGGTTACTAAATACCTTAAGTCCATTGTTGATACCTATTGTTCAGAAAAAGATTCCTTTCAAATATGACTGCTCACTGACAATGCAGTGGTCACCCAAGAGCTCTGATGGAGATGTACAATGAGATTAATGTCCTCATGCCTGCTAACACGATATCCATTCTGTAGCATATGGATCAAGAAGTAAATTCAGGGTAGCCTGGGTGGCTCAGAGGTTTAGCACCGCGTTCAGCCCAGGGTATGATCCTGGAGACCCCAGAACGACTCCCACGTTGGGCTCCCTGCATGGAGCCTGCTCCTCCCTCTGCCTGTGTCTCTGCCTCTCTCTCTCTCTCTCTCTGTGTGATTATCATAAATAAATAAAAAATTAAAAAAAATATTGACATTAGCAGGAATTTGGAAGAAGCTGATTCATGGATTACTTTGAGGGGTTCAAGACTTCAGTGGAAGAAGTAAATGCAACATGGTAGGAAGAGGAAAAGAACTAGAAGGAGAACTAGTCTGAAGCTGTGACTGAATTGCTGCAATCTCAAGATAAAATTTTAATGCATGAAGAGTTGCTTTTTATGGATAAACAAAGTAGTTTCTTGAGAAGTAATCTATTCCTGGTGAAGATGCTGTGAAGATTGTTGGAATGACAACAAAGAATTTAGACTATTACATAAACTTACTTGATAAAGCAGCGGCAGAATTTGAGAGGATTGATTCTAATTTGGAAATTCTACTGTGCATAAAATGCTATCAAACAGCATCATGTGCTACAGAGAAATGATTTGTGAAAGGAGGAATTAATGCTGCAAACTTCACTGTTGTTTTAATTTAAGAAATTGTCATGGACATCTCAACCTTCAACCTTCAGCAAATACTACTCTTATCAATCACCAGCCATCAACATCAAAGCAAAAAGATGATCACTTATGGATAGCTCAGATGATGCTTGGCATGTTTTGTTTTGTTTTGTTTTTAGCAATAAAGCATTTTAAATTAAGGTAGCTGCATTTTTTTTAATTTTTTTTATTTTATTTATTTTTTTTAAATGCCAGCTTTTTTTTTTTTATTTTATTTATTTATGATAGTCACAGAGAGAGAGAGAGAGAGATTGAGAGGCAGAGACACAGGCAGAGGGAGAAGCAGGCTCCATGCACCGGGAGCCCGATATGGGACTCGATCTGGGGTCTCCAGGATCGCGCCCTGGGCCAAAGGCAGGCGCCAAACCCAGGGATCCCTGCATTTTTTTTTTAAATGCAGTGCTACTGTATACTTTAACAACTGCACTATAGTGTAGACATAGCTTTTATATGCACTGGGAAACTGAAAATATTCTTTTGAATTGCTTTATTGCAATGGTATGGAAGTGAACGCACAGTATCTCTGAGGTATGCCTGTATTTAAAACTGAAATCTGGGATCCCTGGGTGGCTTAGCGGTTTGGCACCTGCCTTTGGCCCAGGGCACGATCCTGGAGTCCCGGGATCGAGTCCCACATTGGGCTCCCGACATGGAGCTTGCTTCTCCCTCCTCCTGTGTCTCTGCCTCTCTCTCTCTCTATGTCTATCATAAATAAATAAATAAATAAATAAATAAATAAATAAATAAATAAATAAATAAATAAATCTTTAAATAATAAACAGAACTGAAATCTGATCTCGTGAAGACACTGCCACATGCCCTTTTTCAGTCTCCTCAATGCCATTCTTGTAACATTTAAAGGAAAACTTGACCAGCATTAATTCCTTTTTTTTTTTGGTACTGTGTACATGTATTTACTATGTATCTGTATATAATAAATATTTAAAAAAATAGTATCAGTCATCAATGCAGCCAGAAGTAGTCAGAAAAAATGTGCAAAAGCCATTCACATTTCTGGGACTGAGAATTTGTTGTATTAAAAGAGCAAGTTTACAATGTGCATAATACAAATCCAAATTTGTGTTTATTCCAATCATGTAAAGTTAACTTTAAATATTGCACTATATATATTTAGATGATTTTTAAGGCCAAGAGTTAGAAAGCAGCTATACCAGAAAAAAAAATTCATGGTTTCAAAAAATTTTAGATTGCAGTAAAAAATGCATAACATAAATCTTACAGTTCAGTAATGTTAAGTATATTCACATTCTTGTGCAGATCTCCAGAACTTTTTCATTTTGCAAAACTATACTCATTGAACAACTCATTTTCCCCTTCCCCTACTTTGTTTCTATGAATCTGACTACTTCAGATATCACATACAAGAGGAATCACACAGTCTTTTTGTGACACTTATTTTATTTAGCATGATGTTCTTAAGGTTCATCCATGTGTATCATATGACAAGATTTTCTTCCCTTTTAAGGTGAAATAATATCCCATTGTATGTATTTTCCATACTTCACATATCCATTCATCTATCAATAGACATTTGGGTTGCTTTTACACCTTTTTGCTACTGTGAATAATGCTGCTATGAACATGGGTGTACAACTATGCTTTGGAGATAGAAAAATTATTTAAATTGATTTAATCCAATAACAGGTTAGTGAGTATCTCAAACTAAATGTCTGTACTGTGCTACTTACTGATAAGCAGTTGGAAGAAAAGTGTCAAACATCAAAATGTGATGATGGAAAGGAATAAAAGACTAAAGCTGCAGTTAAGTGTACTATATTTCTACTTATGTATGAACAATGACTATTCATCTTACAAAGCAAAATGCAGCACCCTTACCAGTAATAATTACGCCATCCTCTTTGTGAACTTCAGTCATTTCTTGAACATGGACTTCTGAGTTTACATTAACCTCTTTCCCTGATAACTGTAAATAAGCTTGAATGGAAGGTGCGACCTTGACAAGAATAGAGCCTGTAATAAATTTTAAAAAGTTTATTAATGCAAAGAAATCAAAAGTACCAGGGGTTATTTGAAAAATGACTGAAAGGGTAGCATGCTCTTGGGACACCATCTTTACTCCTTAGCACATTTTATTTAAACAGCGGTGCAGGATGCCTGGGTACCTCAGTTGGTTAAGATCATGACCTTTACCTTTAGCTCGGGTCATGATGTCAGGGTCTAACTTCGTATCTTCTCAGCCTTCCTAACTGGAGCTGGAAAGTCTGGAGTAAAACTGATAAACTCTCATAATTACTGCTCAAAATGTGTGGGGTGGGAGTACACGACAAAGCATATCACTACAACTAGGTTATTTTATTTAAAAAACAAACTACTTTTCAGTTTTTAAATATAAACTACTGACAGGAGATTCCCTATAACAACAGATATGAGGGATTCAGGGGGAAAAAAAACCTGGGAAATTTCAGAATGAATAGAAGATGCATGCTTTTCTACCAACCATACTTTAAAAGTAAAAAATAATAGATTAAAAAAAATTTTTTGTAGGACTTTTTATTTCTAAATATATTAAATGTAATTTTATGAATGCTTTTTTCTGTTCTTAAATGAAAAGGGGTGTTAACTCTGTGAGAGCTTTAAAAATGTTAAGCAATGCAACTTGCTCTATCCTCCTCTCTCTCCACATCCTTAAAAAACAAAAGCCGTCACCATCAGAACTCCATTACTGTTTATGAAAGAATTCTCATGACTTGAAAACTTTCTCAAATGTCCTATCTTTAACTACCTTTTTTAGAAAGGAGGGCTCTTGCTACATCTTCAAACTCTTTCATTTCATAAACCATCTTCATAGTTACTGAGATCAATACCATATTTTAAATTAAAAAGTGAACTAATACTAACTATACCACATAGTGAAGGCACACTATATAAGGATCAGTGGTTTCATCAAGGACAAATTTTCAATGGAAGAGTCAGTACTCAGATGCAGGTCTGACTCTTAAGCCTAAACACAGCCTTTTTGAAAGAATTAATAAGATTAACTCATAGGAAGAGAAAAACAAGCACACGACATTCTTTTTCACATGGGGAAATGGAGAACATCTAGGACACTCAAGTGGTTTGTTTCCAAACCCTGTTACCGCAAGACACAGGCAGAGTTGGAAAGGATTCTAGATCTCTTCACTAAGCATTAAGCAACAGAACCCTGAATAATTTTCCATTACTCTTTTAAAAAGTTACTGTTCCCAAGTATAGTTAGAATTAAGATACCTGAAGTAAGACATTTTTTTTGTTTCCAGTTGTCCTTAAGCCTCATGCCAGTCCAATAGGAAAAACACAAAATTATAAACTTAATCAAATTTTGCAACATCATATGCTATTTCAATAGGTTACTGGATCAGATCCCAAATAATGCTCAAAGATATTTTAAGTAGATAAAGATTAACAATGTTTCTTGTTTATTTTACTTTTTTGTCCACCCATACAAAATAGAAATAGCTTTCATATAAAAGCTACTTATTGAAAACTTTGTACTCTTACTAGTTATGGTAAATTAGTAATGATTTACATTTTTTCTTAGGGTCTTCGTAATAAGACAATGCATTATATGACTTAAATAGAACTTACAAAATATCTTGAATGGCATTACTGAAGCTCTCAGGAATTCAGTGATAACGCAATATTATCCAATTTTAAAGGAAAAAATGTAATCTTGAGAAATCAAATCGCCTGTGTGTCAGCAAAAAAACCCTTCTGATTTAAGCCTCTGTTTGTAGTTTTATTTTGATACTCTGATGAGAGAGCCTTGTTGGACAGAATGTATTGCCCAAGAAAATATGCCCAAGAAACTAACAACAGGAACAACTTTCTGTAAGGAAGTATTTTCCTTGTTATACACATATAGCTCTGTTCTGAGCAATATGCAAGGTCTAAGTTTTATTTAAAAAAATTTTTTAGAGCTACATTTCTTAACTTTCTGCACCCAGGTCACTTCAGCTCCTATGGCCAAGCTACTCCAAGTATACAAGCCACTTGCCACCATGTACACAGACTTATATTCAATCTTCATATGACTAAAAAGTGTATTATTTTTAATGAAATACTTGGATTCTTAGAATAAGTTATTTGTAACAGAAATAAGATTATATAAAGAGATATGTCATAATAAGACTTAATACTTCAACAATTACTTTAGAGGGCTTTCCTGGTGATATCTTTATTTCAGGACCACACACTGCAAAGAATTATTCTAGAGTGATGGCTCAAGAAGGTCCTATAACAAGTTGGTAGAAAAGCTGCCAAAAGAAATGTATGGGAGCATTTTCCCTCCAAATAATATTCTATTTCAGACATAAAACCAAACTGAGAAATCCAAACACTAACACTAAATAATTCCACAACAGACAATATATTGTAACACTTTTGTTTGTACTATAAAGGTAACAACAGTCTTTATAGCCACCTGTTCCAAAAGTTTCAAAAATCATTGATCCAGAGAGTTATTAGTATCCCAGTCAGTCTTTATTATTCTTTTTTAAAAAAAGATTTTATTTTCAAGAAATTTTACACCCAATGTGGAGCTCAAACTTACAATTTCAAGATCAAGAGTTGCATGTTCCTCCAACTGAGACAGTCAGGTGCCCCTCTGGTGAGTCTTTTATTTTTTAAAGATTTTATTTATTCATTTGAGAGAGAGAGAGAGAGAGAGAGAGAGAGAGAGAGAGAGAGAAGAGTGGGAAGTGGGGGGAAGGGGCAGAGGGAGGAGAAACAAATTCTCCACTGAGCAGGGAACCCAATGCGGGGCTTGATCCCCAAGATCATGACCTGAGCTAAAGGCAGATGCTTAACCAATTGAGCCACCCAAGTGCCCCCCAGTCTTTAAATCAAGTTCTATCATGAGAAATTTTCTTGAGCTCATGATGTCAGTAGAGAGAAAATAATCTGACCATCTGTTTCCTGGATGTTACATAAAACCTTCTGTACACCATATATCAAAATAAAACATTCCACTTGGCTAACCTTTATGGGATTTCAACTCCACTTGCCCTAGATGGCTGACATACACATCTATTGCACCCTGATGAGTTGTGGCCTTTAGACATCCAGAGGATGAGTCTAGGAAAAAAGAAAAACTGTAAGTATAATCATTCTTATTGTAGTAATTGAAATGATAACTTGAAATAAAAGACTCCACTTCAGCAGTAGGATAAGGCACTAAGAGTCTTGCAAAGTTTTTATTTTCCCCATAGTTATGCCATCTTTCACTTTAAAATGAAAGCAGAATTTGAAATCTACAAATCTACACCTAGATAACAAAAAAATCCCTATGTCCATAGTAACTTGCATAACTTATTGATAAAAATCCTTACTCTGCAACCTAATATATAGAAAGGAGAGTACATAAGCAGGGGATCCTTGACAGCCAAGATTATTAAGCACCATTGATACATTTAGATTATCAACCTTCAATATTTAAAGAGTTTTATCTCATGAAGATACAGAGAATAGCAAAGTTAACAAAAATCAAACTTTTTTTTTTTTTTTTAAAGATTTTATTTATTTATTCATGATAGTCACACAGAGAGAGACAGAGAGGCAGAGGGAGAAGCAGGCTCCATGCACCGGGAGCCCGACGTGGGACTCGATCCCAGGTCTCCAGGATCACGCCCCGGGCCAAAGGCAGGCGCCAAACCGCTGCGCCACCCAGGGATCCCCAAACTTTTTTTTTTAAAGATTTATTTATTTCAGAGAGAGAGAGAGGGAGAGCATGAGCAGGAGAGTGGCAGAGGGAGAATCAGACTTCCTACTGAACAGGGAGGCTAATGTGGGGCTCTATCCCAGCATCTGGGAACATGACCTGAGCTGAAGGCAGACACTAACCAACTGAGCCAACCAGGTGCCCCCAAATCAAAACTATCCTATATTTTCTCCTTTTAGCAAATTTGTTGGTGCTAAAAAGGTACTGCTAATAGTGAACACTTACTCTAGATAAGATTTTGTTGCATTTCTTAGACAGAAATGGAGATAAAGGGAGTCACTTAAAGAGTGGGTGAAGCTTGTTTATATCTAAATATTTCTTTTCAAAGTTCTGGAATTGAACAGGTATTTTTCAGTTGGGAGAAGAAAATCATAATTACAGTGGTTCTGGTTTGACACTCAAATCTGTCATCATTGACCCCAGTCTTCAAAAAGCCAACACTTCAAGGGAAAGCTAACAAAGTTAGAGATAAAGAAGTAAGAGAATGATGTTGGAGAGTCAGTACTAAGTAGCTGCTTCTTCCTCATGGCAACTGAACTTTTAATATTCTGTCTGAATGCCCTGAGGAACTTTACTACTTCAAAGTGGAAACAAATTAGGGAGTGTGGTGAAAATAATGCCAAAAATTATACTTTTAGTAAAATGTGAAGAAAAAACATTTGTATACAAGACATTTTTCTTTCAATTTTTAAATGACCCTAAACAAAGCAACTTGGGAATAAAGTGGTTAAAATCTGACCCTAAGATAATTCATAATACTTATCTATAATGTATACTGAAAACTGCCCTTTATTGGACCCAATTTATTTAATTCTAAGTTCAAAAGTAAACCTGATGCTGGGAAATTAAGCCATTAGTGATAAAAAATGACATAGAATAGTTGGGCAAAGATGATTTATCTCTCTCCTCAGTTACCAACAGAAACTCCTTTTATATAATCTCTTATTGCATCCTAAAGGAAGCCAGGTAAAATATATATTACAATTAAAAAGAAATGTGGACTACACAATGTGTATATTATCCCAGGTTGAACAAAGTAAAATATGTGAAACATGTTTGATTTCTTGCTGTCTCTAGGGGAAAAACTACACAAGATTTTTGTGAAGCTAATAAATACTTCTCCTCCAACCCAATGGGAAATAAACAAAGGCTAAATAATTTTATTCTAAGCCACTGAGTAATTATATCCTCGTGTTATCAGTCGTGAGCTCTTGATAGTGGTCCATCCCTGGGAGACTGAAAAAACAAAAACAAAAACAAAAAAACCCTCAAGATATGTTTTCAAGAGAGAAAGCAAAAGTGATATTTGAAAAGCTATGTAGCAAAACAAACACTAATCTTCTTTTGTTTTCTGTAATACAAATGACTGGAACTAAAAATTAATTACCAAGAGTCAAATTAAGACTTCCTCTATAAAATTTTACTTTTTGGAAATCACATAATGGAGAAATTCTATAGCTCTTAGAAGAAGCTTGAAGGGAAATATGCATTAGAGGGCGATTAAGAAGTAAACAGCAATTATTAGTCTAGATAGTGTCTGGAATAAGTAGGCTCTCTGTGAGAGTTTTATATCCTCACAATTTTGGACAAGGATCTTGTTGGTCTCACAGAGACCACTGGGTTTTCCTGGAAAATTACACACACAGTAGGGTAAAACTGATGTTGACTACTAGCTAATCAGAACACACAACCAAAAAACCCCATATATTTGTAATATACATTTGTCTAATAGAGAGTAACTACTTGAAAGGCTAAAATTCCAAACTCTCAGATAAGATAGAATTCTTTCAAAATCAAACATGTTCAGAAAGTTCTCAATTTTTCATTTAACTTCAAGTTTCAACATGTAGATACTAAGATATGGTAACACAAAAGGTATTTCTTCATTTCTGCAACTCGAGTCCTACAACTTCCAGAGCTACACTAATTACAAGGAACAAATTTCATACACAGGACACAAAGGATATACAAAGCCAGAATTGTAAGGTTATTTCAAGTAAAGTCAGTATCCTGTATTAGGGAGGGAGCATTAGGAAACTGGGGTTACAAATGACAAACAAGGCAAACCATGCCACCTCCTGCTCCAAATATATTCTTTTTTTAAAGATAAAATCACCAGTACATGGCTTCTGGCAATGCCTTCCAAAAGAGGCAACATAAGGCAGTGAAAGTAAGGCTAGGTGAGCAACTCTATTAAGCATTTCTATCCTACTGTCATCTACTATCAAGCTTTGCTTTCTACTGTTGACTATTTTATTTCTAAAGATTTGTTTATTTGAGAAAGAGAGCACTCACTAGTGAGAGGAGGGGCAAAGGGAGAGAATCTTCAAGCCGACTCCACACTAAGGCAGAGTCCAACAGGGGCCTCTAGCCCACGACCCAGAGATTATAACCTGAGCTGAAACCAAGAGTCAGATCCCCAACTGACTGACCACCCAGGTGCTCCTGTTGACTCATTTTAAATGGATGATCTGGTATTCCAGAAAAAAAAAGACATTATTTTAAGAAATATGAGTCCAAAGAAAATCATGGTTTTGACATATATAATCAAAAATTTTTTTACAGCACTTAGCTTCTGAGAGAGAAATTAGGAAGAATGGGGTTTGGGGAGGCATATTATAATGTATATACACAATCCAAATGACTGATAAGATAATACTTAAGAAACTGATCAATTATATTATCTAAATTCCTTTTACCTGAATTATATTCTTCTTAATAAAGGAATCATAGGAAGAATACTTTGTCTATTTTCCTTTATCAGATAGGATAATACCTAAATCATCTCAAGTCTCCTAATATTCTAACTTGATAATATTATATCTAACTTTTTCTCACCACCTATTCCAATATTTTGAAGTCTCTGCTATTCTAATAAACTTCCTTCTCAGGTTCCTACAAATCACTTTTTTGTTTCTTTGTAACTAATTTGCTTATTAGCAATTTCAATTCCTCAAAATCCAAGTTACTCAGTAGACTTTAATTAGGTTACCATGATTCAGAGTTGCCTTCAAATCTCTCCAGCAAACCTTTTATGAAAAACACAAGCAAAGTAATCAAGAAACTTCACCTTTGGGATTAAGGCATCATATCCAAAATTTTACCAGACTCATAACAAGGTTTTTAGGCTCTACAGCAGGGATGGCAAACTACAGCCCTCCTGTTTTTATTAATGAAGTTTTATTGGAACAAGACATAGCCATTTGTTTGTGCATTGTCAATGACTGCTTTGTGTTACAATGAGAGAGTTGCATAGATAGTACAGGTAGACTGTGTGGCGACAGAGCCAAAACTATTTAATATCTGGCCCTTTACAGAGTCTGCTGATTCCTAGAGCAAAACATTTTGGTTCGAGGAAATAAGCTCTCCCTTGCCCACCCCCCCTCCCAAAAGTAAAATTTAATTCTGTTTAAGACAAAGAGATTTACCAATTTACTGAAATCAGCTCTTTTCCTAAGGTTTTAGTAGTATAGATATTAAATTCTTGCTTAGAAATGAAAAAAAGTTGTCTCAGGGCAGTTCTAACTTTTCACTGACCTTGACTGCTCACTATTTTTATCAAATAGATACCTAGGACTTTGCTGACTTGCTTAGATTATGTCATCACATTTTGGTTTAATCTCTTAAGCTGTATGTTCCTATTAAACAAAAAATCAGCAATGTTTGTTTTCTTATAAAGGAGCACAAGTGGGTTCTTGAGAAATTGTATGACATCTTCTGTTCCAAATGTTAGGAGAAATGGGATGTATTTCCACAAATCAGTGACTTTTAGGTCCAGATATATTCAAAAGAAGAAATTTATAACAGGACCCAAACAACTTTGAATTCAAGTTTTGGGTAATTTTTGCTGTGCTCTGCTCTGCTCTCTTCTTTCTCCTCCTTTCCTTTTCTGATTTAATACTCACTATAAATATATACATATGAAATAATAGTACACGTCTTATGTTGTTTTTTTCATTTAATAAAAGGTTAGGGCAGCCCTGGTGGCACAGCGGTTTGGCGCTGCCTGCAGCCCAGGGCGTGATCCTGGAGACCTGGGATCGAGTCCCACATCGGGCTCTCTGCATGGAGCCTGCTTCTCCCTCTGCCTGTCTCTGCCTGTCTCTCTCTGTGTCTCTCATGAATAAATAAATAAAATCTTAAAAAAAAAATGTCAAGGACACTTGGGTGTCTCAGTTGGTTAAATGTCTGCCTTTCACTCAAGTCATGATCTCAGGGTCCTGGGATCTAGTCCCACATCAGGCTCCCTGCTCAGGCTCTTTCTCAAATAAATAAATAAAAATCTTAAAAAATATTTCGGGAATATATGTCTATATTATAAACTATAGTCAGGTTATTATATTGTTAAAGGCTAATA